TCTGCCAACGAATCTTCATTTCTGTTATCCCCCCGTTCTGGTATTCCAATCACTCGTAGGTTATTCCTCTCGATAGAGTCCCACATAATTCTTTGGGTTTCTTCATTTTTTTGAATCCTTTTATCTGATTTTTCCTCATATAAGTCGGTGTCAAGTGCTTTATCTTCAATCTCACTAATTCTGGTTTCCATTGCCTCAATTCTGCTCCTATGACTTTCTACTGAGTTGTCTAATTCTGAAATTTTATTGTTAATCTTCTGGATTTCTGATTGCTGTCACTCTATGGATTCTTGCAGACTGTTATATTTGTCATTATGCTCTTCTCTAACCTTTTTAATTTCCTCTATTGTGTGTTCTGCATTTTGCTGAATTTCCCTCCTAATTTCTTGAAGAGTTCTGTATATTAATCTTTTATATCCTGTCTCTGTTAATTCCAAGAAATTTTCCTCCTCTGGAAAATTTCTAGATTCTTTATTTTGGGAGCTTGCTGAAGCCATCATGGATTGCCTCTTTATGTGATTTGATATTGACTGTTGTCTCAGAGCCATCATTAAGTTATTATATTTATTTATTTTATGTTTGCTTACTGTGTCCTAGCTTCTTGTTTTGTTTTGATATGCCCAAATAGGCTGCTCATATGAGTTAGTTTGATTATTGGCACCTTTGAAGCTCTAATGTCCTGTTACCGGGTGGTTAGATCTGTTACTAGGTATGTGAGCTCAGGAGTCTGCCCACTCCTCCTGTATAGATTCAGTTCAGGTGCCCACATAGATAGCCACCAGGTGCGTGGTGTAGGGTCTCACTTACAGTCCTAGACAGGAATGGGTAATTGGTGTAGGCAAAGACATCTGGCTGCAGCAGGGGGACACACTCTGAGCAAGGCAGGGGGCTGACAGCCGCCCCTGAGTGTCCAGGAGGAAGGTGTGTCCCTATTCCCTAGAGCACGCAGGTGGGTCGGTTTTGCAGCCAAACTATGAGTACCTATTGCTGTTGGCTATAAGGACTGGGGGGCACCTCTTACTCATGGGCCCCTCTAGCAAGTGGCTAGGTGGCATAGGTGGAGCCACCAGTCCTCAGGCCCCTGATGTGGGTAGGTGAAGACCCTGCTTAATGGGCAGAGCAGTGTCAAATGTCATGAACCTACCACTTCACAGCTGAAACAGCTGAAGTCAGACTTCTATATACCCTGTTGTACTGCAGTACTGAGGGCCTATGCTGTTGAGATGGGCCCACACAAGTCTATGCAGGGGAGAAGGCACTCAAAGTCCGTGGATCCCTTATGCCTGTGCCTAGGCAAAGCAGCTGTGTCTATCCTGGTTCCTGGCTTAGGGGAGGCAGCAGTTTATTTTTTCCTCTGTTTGTTAATTTGTTCACTCTCCAATGCAGGGAGAATAGCCCCAGGCGTGTGATGGATCCTACTTCCGGCCCAGGGGACTCGGCAGTTGCTGAAGTCAGTCCTGGACCCAATGCAGAGCAGGGAACAGGGAGGTAAACAGGAGAGAGGTTTTTCCCTAAGGGGGGTGCTTTTGATCCGCAGGGTTAGCCGTATGCAAGTACTTATCTTTTGTTGAGGGATGCTTCTCACTAGTTCTGGGTGGCCATGTAGACTCTCTGGCACTGGGTCTCTCCCAGTGCAGAAAATGTGCTTCCCGAGCACCACTGCTTGCCTGCCTCATCACTCATCCCTCAGGTGATCAGGCCTGAAGGGCTCAGGCTCTCACCGGGTCAGGTCTGGCAACTCCTCGCTGCTTCCGAACTGTCTCTCCCTCCCCCTGCCACTCAGTCTGGTTCTTCAACTCTGCCTTTGATGTTCAGGGCTCCCAGATTGCCATATATAATCAATTCACTTGTTTTTTCGGGTCTTTGTTGCAAGAAGGCCCACCGGAAGCATCTGACTACTCTGCCATCTTGGCCCCGCCTCCTCATAAAACAATTTCTTGAATTAATATATCTTTTTAACCAACCTGGTTTGCCTCAATTATCAACTAAAATTCTCACATCTCAGTTTCTTCTTTCTTTAAATTTTGTTGCTCTTCTTGATCTTCTGCCATTTTTTAAAATACATTTTAACTTCTCAATGTCTGTCCTTCTTACATTTTTCTTACTTCTCTTTTTCTTAGATTTTTAATATTCTGTTTTCATAATCTAGTTATTCTTGATTTTTTTCCCTTTATATATGATCTTGACCATTCTATTTTTTTTTTAAGCTGATTTCTAGTTAACTCTTCTTATTCCCTTATATATTTTGCCTCTAGTATTTTTTTTCATTTTTCTTTCCTTGGCTTTTTTTCTCCTTTCTCCTTAAGAACCTATGTTAATTCTAGACTCATCTGTATTTTAAGAAAATAATACTTTCTGAAATGAAATTGCTCACAGTATCACATCTCTGGGTCTTCCTCATTAAAAATACCACATTTTGGAAGAAAGGAGCTCTGGGGGGTCTTTATCCATCTCTTCCCAGGTTTACTCAATATGGTAGTTACCTATATGTCGGCCAGATCAAGTCAATTAATGCCCATGGCATGTGGTTAGTAGACAGTGATGGTGGAAAGTAGAAGAAATACTCAACAACCAGTTCTGAGCTCACCAGGGAAAGCAACTGAGTCGTTTACCCAGTCAGGTAGTTTCAATTGCAAGTAAGACAGGCAACTCAATTTGGTTGAAACATAAAAGGTTCATGTAACCGACAACTCTGTAAGTAGTGATATCACCAAAAACCTACATTCTTTCAGTCTCTCTGCATTGCCTTCTATTGTATTAGTTTTAGTGCAGGCGTGCCTCTCCTTACGAACTCAACAGACCCCAGGGCTAAACACCTCCATGTTCATATGCAGCAAAAAAAAGCAGTCTCAGCAAAAGTTCTATGATTTGATTGAACTGGTCTTGGGCACACACCTTCTGCTGAACCAATCACTATGGAAGGGGAGGCAGGATGCAATAATATGCTAATCCTAATCCAAGTGGCTCCATCGCTGGAGCCAAGGTAGACAGCTCCTGGGAACCACATGGTTTCAGAGATGGAGCAAGGAGGAATTATATGCTGGGAAGCAATCAGCAAGTGTCCACTGCATGAGGCAAATGATGAATATAGATAGCGCAAAATAAATATTAATTTCACCAATGTATGTTCTTTTTCCAGGGAGCTATTTTGATCATTATAAGATTGTAAATATCAATAAATATATTTTATATTTTGAAAAGGGAGTACCTATGCATTTTTTTAAATAATCAATTCCTTTAAAAACTCTTTCTGAGAATGAGAATATTGACCTCAACACAGTTATGTATTATCATGACTGTTAAATAATTTAAATGCTATTATTGTTAAATAATGAAAAGAAATAAACAACAATAAATAATGAACTGCATCAAATGACTATTTAATAAAATAATGATATTCCTGGGGGAACCCCAAACCAAAAACTTATTGCCATCCTGTTGACGCCAACTCACAACCAACCTATTGGGCGGAGTAGAACTGCCTCACAGGGTTTTCAAGGCTATAATCTTTATGGAAGCAGACTGCCACATCTTTCTCCTATGGAGCAGCTGGTGGATTTGAACCACTGACCTTTTGGTTGGTAGCCAAGCACTTTAACCACTGCGGCACCAGGGCTCCTTTCCTGGGGGGAAGAAATACTTAAAGACCAACTAGTGGATTTCTTAAAAAGAAGTAATATAAACTCAGAATTGACTCAACAGCAACTAACAACAACAACAATATAAACTCAGTTTAAGCAAATACAGAAGAAAAAAAAAAAAAAAAACTTTTAAAAATTAGAAGAGACCAGAAGAGGTACACTGCACAAGTGAGCAACTGTCTTTTTCTCTTCTACTCCCAGTCTCATCACACTTCTTTTCGGTGAATATTAAATAAGGAGTTTATGAAATAAAAGGCCAGGATGTCAACAAATGAAGGTACAAAAAAAGTCATCTGCATGGTTATTTGGGGGTAGGGAGGTGAGGTCATTTTTACATTGATAGTTATTTGTAAGTCACTAGATCATAGTCTTCAGAGTAAATGAATGCCAATTCTTAGTCCCATCCCCTCCCCGCAAAAAACGAAGTGTACTTTCTAGAGCTTCTGAATATTAATGTCAAAAAAATTCTCCCCAAGAAGTAGAATATTCTTATTTTCTCAGTACTAAAATAAAAGAATGTTATCTGCAACAATGAGTCATCAGCCACTGCAGCTCCCCAACATCCAGGCCTTTCCCTGTCTCTGCAGCTCTTTCAAAGGAGAAGACTATCTTTTAATGACACACATAAATCCCAGCACTGTATGGCTGCAAAACATAAATAATTCTGGCCTTTTTATGCTTAATGAAACACCTTGGACATATGACAGCAGTGCGTTTGAACTTCTTGTATGTATGTAAAATAGCAGAAGAAAAGCCCTAGCTTCTTCCTAGTTCTACCCAAAATGCTCGAGTCCCATTTGCAGGAGCTCTCCCATTGTCTTCAAAATACATGTCTTATAACAAGCAACTCATGCTAAAGAAAACTCACGAACACCTGTATGAACAGTTTTCTTAACTTTTTAAAGTATGGAATGCTTTGTTTTTCAAATTCTTGGCAGTGAACACTTGTTTTTACTTCTCAACTTGCGGCTTCCATAGAAGGGTATTTAAAGGAAGTAATTCTCTTAGATGCAGCTGCTCAATATCATTTCCTTTTATTAGAATAACTTTTCATAGTTTAATATGTACTTACATGCTGCATTACAGAGGATATTACTCCAAGAATTTGAAAAAGTAAATTTTTGAGGTTCCATTTCAAAACACAAATGCAATGAGTAAAATTTAAAAAACAAAAATTAACTGAAGTATTTACCTTGACTTCCTCTTTAGAATATTCAATTACTCTAGCCCTACCTGAGCAGTCTTGAAAGCAAATGCCTATTTTTAAAGAAGTTACTACTGCTATAAATGTATTTTCCTTGATTTAATTATAAAATGCATGTAGAACAAGTGAATAATGAAATATAGAGTGCATCTCACCTGTTTAGGTGTAACCCCAGGCATGCGAATATCCAATGCAAAATCTGATGAATCAATTGGAATTACTGGTCTGGAGGTACCAAGACATTCATTGGGAAATGATCTGGCAGTTTCTTTAACCCTTAAAAAGGAAGAAAATTTCAATATCCTTGAACATAATGGAATCTTAACATAAGAAGAAAAAAAGAGAATTCTATGATCTTAAGATTAAAGATTATTAACAAAAAAAAATGATTTTACCAACAAAAAATAGTAAAGTAATGAAGGTTTTTGCAAAAATATATGAACAGTCTAATGGAGAAATTTTATCACCTCTTACAGTATCTGAATTAACTACATTTAAATATTAAATTTTATTAGCAAAAAAAAAAAAGATTAAAGATTATTGATTGAAACCTGATAAAAACCCTAAAGATGTGTTGATCATACAGTGGTCTAAAACATACTCAGAACTGCATTGTTTAGTCCAAGAACAATATGTGCTTAACTGGTAAACAAAATACAATCAAAGCAGCCAAGCAGGCTACATTTAAACCTCAATTCAATAAAAACTTGTCAAACAATATATGTGTTACTAGTAAATGAAGACATAGTGTTAATAAATTAGAAGTGACTACAGATGTGCTCATTTCCTAATGGTAGAAATATTAATCATAACTCCATAAAAAATTTTGTAACTATTTTATGAGTATTACTAGTGACAAACACTCACTCTCCCCCCACAAAAAAAAAAAAAGAAAGAAAAACAATAATCTTGCCAGGCAGAGTTGTATGAAGGGAAAAAAGACTGCGATGTGAACTACAAATGTACAAGAGCATAAATATTTAATATGGTAATTATGAGGAGTGTGTATACAGCTCAGTGTTTTCTTGTGAGCTATTAGTCCATGATCTGTTTCTCCCCACCACTGACTGTCTTGATACTTCATTCTACAAGCTGTTATAAACAAGAATGCATTCAAGTCTAAACGACTATGTTGCAATTTCTGAAAGATGTACCCAAGAGGGAGTGATTAGTATTGGAAATCACAACTTCTAATTGGAGTTTTGAAGCCAGGGCAGCCTGGCTACAATACAGTGGCCTTATTCTATAGGGGGGACTTTACAAGAAGTTACTGTGCTAAAATTCCAAGTCATTTCAGCCAAGTAAATCAACCTCGTGTATTTCTCCAACACTCAGGTTCGTAAAAGTGATTACATTTCTAAACAGCATGCACAGAAAACACCCAAACAACATTTTATCTGTTTTAAAAAAAAAAAAAAGACACCCACCTCTTAAAGACAGAAAGTGGGCTTCTGTAACCCAAACAGCTGCTTTGTAAAACGAGGAGAAATAGCAGGCTAAGAGCACGGTGAGCCATGTTCACGCCGCTCCGGCCGCGCCAGGAGAAGAGCCGGCAGCGCAGCGCGGGGCTGGGCCGGCGGTCGGGCAGTGGTGCCGCCAGCAGCCGCTACTTCATCGCCCGGGCGCGGCGGGCGTCCTGCGGCGGCCACACACCATCTGTTTGCGAGAGCAGCCAGCAGAACAAGGCGAGGTGTCTAGCTCACGAGCCGCAGGCAGAAACCCGTGCGAAGGCAGTACTTTTGTCCAGTCCACAAGCGGAAGCTTTCCTCTCTCCAGAGCTGCTTTTTTTTTTTTTTTCCCCCTGGTGTTGGGGCTAGACGTGTGGGCTCCTTATCAGTCCGGAGTGACAGGGACTGTGAGGGATATCACACAAACCCACGTCAGTCATCATTCAGAACCTGCAAAAATAGAAGCAGATGATGGATGACTAACACATTACTGCATCTGTCCTCAGCAAATCCCGGTTGAGGTTTTTTAATACATTAGTAGTTTCACAAGCTTGAGCCCAAGCAGGGGTAAAATGCTGGTCTGTTGATCTTCCCCCCCCCCGCGACCAGCCCCCAAAATTTCACAAACCCCCATTGCCTTTAATGCTTTTTGCTCTTTCTTCCTCCCTCACACCCACTCTCCCGTTTTCTTTTCCTACTTCTTTCCCCTTCTCCCTCACATCCACCCCACTCTCTGTATTTCTCTTCCTTACTTCCTTTATCATCCCCTTCTATCACCTAAAATGCATTTAATACCTCTGCTTAATGTGAACAAAGTTATTCACACAAATGACAGACTAACGCACAGGGGCAGGAAAAAAAAAAAAACGAAGAGAGGAGAGACAAAGCACTTGGATACAACAGTAATCAGAAAAAGACTGAGAACAAAGGCATGTTTATATATATGCATCACAGAGCTACAGATCTACGGAGTAAGATACCCCCTGCCAAGAACTCACAATGATCATCAGGAAAGTAATCGCTGAAGTGCTCATAATTATTTTAAGCAAACAAAAAAATCCACAGTTAACATGGTACTGTATATGGAATGTAAATACCCATTTAGAAATCCTGCATGTGATACACAAAGTAATACTTTCTTGCTCATAAGGCATGCCTCCCAAAAGATATTACTTCTTAAATAAAGTTTGGAGATCTACAACAGAATTAGAAACAGTAGGGGGCATCAACAGCTGGCCCCAAACTGGATTTTATCTCTAAAAGACATGATCAAGAACTTCGTATTAGTATAAATGAGAGGCCATCCAGAACTAGTGTAACATCTCAACATTTTATGAAGACTCAACTAGTTAAATTTTAAAATATGCATATTTTGACTTTACAGGTTGTTTTTATTATATTTCAGACTATGTATCAAGTTTGTACATTGGAGTCAGAAGGCATTATTTAAAAATGTATCATTTACAATATAAAAAATAATTCAAAGGAAAGGGATTTCTTAGTTATTTTAGTCAGTAATTACAAAAATTGTTGGGAGATCCCAAATAAATCCATTTACCAAATAAACTTACAGTCAAATAACCGAAAAAAAAAATCAGTAAATTCATATAGAAGAGCTCCAAAATAATACCTGATCCTCTAAATTAGCCTCTTGAAATACTAAGGCTACTCTAAAAAACAAACAAAAAACTCAAAACAAACAAAAAAGCACTAACCAACCTCAAATTAAATGAGAAACCTTCATGGTCAGGTGCTTTCTAGAAGAAACATACTTTATACCAAATATAAATAAAATGTGATTGAATAGTCAACCAATCCAAGGATGCTTGAGGCTCAGCAGCACCCAAGGACCACAGTTAATTTACATAAGCAATGACATTTTTAAAACACTGATAATATTTGTTTGAACTTTCTCTTTGGCTTGCTGTTTGAGCTTTCAGCAACAAAAAAAGCTTCAGCTTTGTCCTTATCCTGTGGGTAATGAAAAGAGAACTCCTTGTGGGGAAGAGAAAGAATTGGCCTGAAGGCTATGCTATTGCCTTTACCAGCAACAAAGCATACTCCTGTCAAATGACAAGACTTAGTATTCCCTGAACTTTTTTTTTAATATATGTGAAAACGGGATTATATTTTATTATTTCATGCAGAACAGGATCCCAGGACAGTCCCTTCCAGTTGGCAAGGAGATTTGGTATTACATAAATACTTGAAAACAAATTTAGTATTAATATTCTCTAATGGGAACACACCTAGCCTTTGAAAAAAATCTCTTATCTCTGATTAATTTTATTTATCTTTGAAGTTCCTAAACCACCTACTAACAGAAAAGGCAACTGAAGTTGTAAATGGAAGCAAAGTTGATTTTTGCAACCACAAAGAGAACAAAAGATCTTATAAAAATGAAAGCTGATTATCAGTCTTTAAATTGTTTCTGGTTCTTGATGGCTTGTACAGTAAAGACAACATACAAATTATCTCATGAAAAAAGTGCCTAACCATTTCATTTATTTTACAATTCTTGAAAATTGTGGCATAGATAATACTCAAATCTTACTCTTCTTTACTTATCATTTAAAAAATTCAAAATGTATTTTCCTGAGATCATTCATTCACTTATACAAAACAAAACAAAACTCTTATTTCATACTATGTACAAGATATTGTAATACATGTTGGGATTTTATAAAGTGAAAAAAAAAAACCTAAAAGAGAATTCAGCGGATTAAGGACATGAGGACTTGATAAAATTTATACAACCATGAGGCTAGTGCAGGACCAAGCAGTGTTTCGTTCTGTTGTACGTAGGGTCACTGTGAGTCGGAACCGACTCAACGGCACCTAACAACAACGCTTAGAATGTAGTATTCCTAGGAGAGTATATTATAAAAGGATTCAGGGAATTTTGAGGAAGGAAAGATAATTTCAACCTTCATTAGGAGGGTTTAAAAAAAAAAAAGAGAGAGAAAGGCAAAAGCAGGCTTCAGTGGAAGAGGTGGCTACTGAGTAGCATCATGGAGGATGGTTGGGTTTCCAATGTGGGAGATGGAGAGTGCGCATTCCAGGTGTAAGGAACAAGAAAGCCAAAGGAGCCCAGGGAGGGTGGGGGCAGCAGAGGTTGTGTTTGAAGAACGAATAATAAAGGCTCTGCCTTCCTAGACTCAAGCTGCAGATCCATACTATTTGATTTGTAATACAAGGCAAAAATTCTGTTTACATACCCATAAGTTCGGTAAGAATGATTTATAGCTTATGCCTGTACATATATTAATTCCAGGAGCAGTACTATTAGATAGCAAGCACAGCCTAGTCCAGACAATCATAAAACTAATTTGATTCTTACAAAGTGGGCAGTCCATTCCTTCCAATATTCATTAAAAAAAAAAAAAAAAAAAAAAACTGCAATTGTTAATTAGTCAAATAATCAAATAAATACAACAATCATTCATTTATTAAACAAGAAAGAACCAGGATAATGTAGTGGCTAAGAGCCTGTAAGTTAAGCAAAGCTGTCTGACTCGCGGCTTCACCATTTACTAGCTATATGAACCTAGGCAAGTACCTAACCTCTCTAGAAGTTTTCTCATTGCAAAATGGAGGTAACCATACTGTCTATGTCATAGGGTTGTTACAAGGAATAACTGAATTAATATACTTAGGACAGTGCTTGGCACATAATAAATGTTCACTGTCATTATTGTCGGAGCTCTGGTGGCACAGCAGTTAAGAGCTCGGCTGCTAACCAAAAGGTCGGCAGTTCAAATCCATTAGCTGCTTCTTGGAAACTCTATGAGGCAGTTCTACTCTGTCCTATAGGGTCCCTATGACTCTGAACTGACTCGATGGCAACAGGTTTGTTTGTTTGTTTTTAATCATTATTGTTGTTGCAACAAATAAGTATTGAGAGCTATGACTAACAATGCTAGGGATGGTGATAATGAATACATAAAATTTCCACTCTTATAGAGATTACCTTCTAGTGTTTCAAAAGCAAAATAACTACCAAATTATAAATTTCCTTTTCTTTTAAGGAGATTTTTAGATGATTTCTTAGATGACTTACAATTTAACTGATTAAAGGATGCAATTTATGGGGATTTATTCTAGGGCAAAAATTGGACAAGTGTACAAATATGTAAGTATATTCACTAGCACGGTTCATAATAGTAAAAACCTAGACTTTTATAATCTAAAATTGGAGAAAATATAAATGTCTATCAATAGGAGAAAGATAAGTTAAAAAAAATTTGTTTGATACTTACAAAAACTGAAAAACTGCGTCCCTTTATAAAGAATAAGAAGGCCATATTTTATGACATTATTTTTTTTTTGTATAATTAAAAAAATTTCTAAATAATCTCAAACTTATAGAAATGTTGCAAGTACAGAATAAAGAACGTTCTTTACTTCACCACTAAACTGCTGACCTAATGCCTCATCACATCTGAATACTCTAGTGTGTATTTACTAAAAACAAGTGCCCTCTCATACATAACCACAATACATCCATCAAAGTCAAAATAGTCATACTGACACATTACTACCATCTAATCCTAAACTTCCATTCAAACTTTGCCAACTGGCACAATCATGTTCTTTGTAGCAAGAGAATTCAGTTCAGAAACACGCATTGCATGTAAAGTTCTCATATCTCTAGTCTCCTTCAGTCTGGGACAATTCCCCAGTCTTCCCTTGATTTTTATGACCTTTACTCTTCTGAAGATTACAGGCCAGTTACTTTGTAGAACGTCCCTCAATTGGTGTTTGTTTTATGCTTCATCAGGATTAGATTCAGGTTATAAACCTCTGGCAGGAATATCACGAAAGTGATGCTGTGTTCTTCTCAATGCATCTATGTTATGTCTATTCGCTGCATATCAAATTAACCCAAAACTTAATAGTTTAAAACAATAAACATTATCTCACTCAGTTTATAGGCTACATGAGTGTCTTAACAATATAGGCAGCTGACTTCTCCCAGAGTGAGCAATATCTTTTATGACCTAGCATCAAAAATCACACACCATCATTTCCATAGTATCTTACTGGTTACACAGGTCAGAGCCCCAACTTGGGAGAAGACTACCCAAGGGCATGAATATATCAGGAGGTGAGGATCATCTTGGTGGATATCACAGTATCTTATGAGTGGCATACAATTATGATTTGTCTCATTACTGATGATGTTAACTTTGATCATTTTATTAAGATAGTGTCTTCTAGGATTTTCTACTGCAAAGTTACTATTTTCTCCTTTGTAAGTAATATTTTGTGTATGTAGAGATACTCTTTTTGACTTTATAAATATTTCATTTCTCATCAAACTTTCAATTTATTCATTGTTTAGATCATAATGGGCTTGTTTTCTTATTTTATTCAACGGGTTATCCTCTGTTACTAATGTTAATTATTTTGATGCTCAAATTGTCTCAGTTTTGGTCCTTCCAAGCCAG